ATTTTGGCTGTAGAGCAGTGTAATATTTAGTCCTGCCTTGGGTCAGGAGATTGGATTAGAAGACCTCTCAAGGCCTCTTCCAGTCCTATGATTCTATAATTCAAAAGTATAGAATGTTCTGTTGGTTAGTGATATTAGCTCTTGATGGCTCATAATTTTCTGTAGGGTATTGGTGTAAAGGAAAAAGAGGGAAGCATAATTATGCAGAATTAATCACTGGCCTTATAGGGTGGCCAGAATGTAACACTGTATCTTCCACAGGAAAGAGAACAAAGATAACTTTCACTGAAACACCGGATTTAAAATATTTCAAATGTTTCTGTGTGAGTGGCTTTTCAGTTGAGCTATTCGTTTTCAATGTCTAAGATACATCTCTTGACTGTCTTACACTTTACACAAAGATACTGTGAATATGTTATGACTAAAGAACATTGAATATTGTAAATAGATACATTTGTGGTCTACTGCTATACTGTTACCACCCGATAAGACCTGTGTTATAGACAATATGTGTATGATGTGGAGTTTTATGAATAAATAGTTTTTTATTTTATTTAGAATATAAACTGTACTTGAAGTGATGGTCTCTATATGTATTCCAAATGTGGATGCACATGTGTGCTATGTGCCGGAAGTTTTTCAGCAGCAGTGTCTGTTGACTCGCACATGGTAACGTAAGGCTCCTTTCTAAATGAACCTGAAAAGGAGGAGGTTCCCTCTGTGTTATGGTTAAAGTTAGAATTAGTTAATTTAGCATGTTTCCTTGATGTTCAGATTAAACCACAGTTCAGGATTATTCATTTTAAAATGTTTGTATTTAATATTTTTCAGTTTCTGGAAGGAATGTATCTGAAATATAATGATAAAGCTGCAGAAAAGGGGGTATATGTCGTTGGAAGCAGTGGCTTTGACTCTATTCCAGCAGATATGGGAGTGTTATACACCAGAGACAATTTGAAAGGTGATTTATCTAAGTGTGACCTTTATCTTGATAGTTATGTTGGGCTGAGATTCACAATCCTTGATCCTGGTTTGTTTGTCGTGTGCTTATTGCTAAGGCTCAGATTTTGTCACGGATATTTTTAGTAAAAATCATGGGCAATAAACAAAAATTCACGGAAGCCTCTGACCTGTCTGTGATTTTTTTACTAAAAATATCCCTGACAAAATGGGGAGGGAGGAGGGTCCATAACCCACAGTGGCTGGGAGCTCTGGTGTCCCCTTGCGCCCCCCTCGCAGCATCTGGGCAGCTGTGAGGGGGTGTCCCCCCGCCGCTTACTGGGGCTGGGAACTCCGGGGTCCCCTTGTTGCCTGGCCATTAGGAGCTGCTGGGGGCCCGCCAGCAGCGGCTGAGAGCTGTGGGGTTGCCTGCTGACAGTTCCAGCCCCAGGGCAGAAAATGTCATGGAGGTCTCTGGAAGTCATGGATTCCGTGATCTCTGTGAAATAATCATAGCCTTATTTATTGCTTATCAGAGAGACAGTAGTAGATGTTGGAGCCATAATATACTCTGTCTTTCTGTCAGTGTCCTATTGTCACTATTTTGTCTTTAAGAAGGACAGATGTGTAGAAGCTAGACTGAAATGATTAAACTCATTTCAGCTGTAACTTGACCCCACTCTCAGTTATGGATTCTGTGTCCAGTAGAATTGCATTTAGTATACTGAATACCTTTCATTGTGACCTTCCTTTAAAGTGTCAACACAATTACTCACATGAGTGATACCACACTAATTATCTTTTTATAAATTTTTAAAAGGTGGTATCTTGGCTTTAAGATATAGCAGACAGTAAACTAAGATTTGGGAGAGAAAATTTGTTTTGCTGTTCATTACCTAGCAAAATGTAAAATATATACAATAAGTTAAATGCAGAGGAACAAGTTGATTTATTGTATGGCACTCAAAAGGGCTACCAAATTTTGTGACTTCATCTCTAAATTTCAATAGCCTACATAATGCTTAATGTCAAAGCAAAGGTGAAAAATGCTTTGGGCCCTGATGTTATCTTTTCCCTTTTTTTCTTTAATCACTGAGCTGTCCTTTCTTTATATAAAACAAGGATGGCAGCTAGTAAGTGAGGATAATACCATATACTTTGATAAAAGCACTTTGCCTATGGTACTCAATGTGAGTAAAATAGCCTTGGCTTACAATCTTCGTTTATTTTCCTTGGAGATAAAGTACTTCAATACTGGAGTCTTACTTTACTCTTCCTCCTCTGCTAGTGATGTCAGTCCCTCAGTGGGTGAACTACTGTCTAGTTCACTGCTGTATGACTGCATATGTTATGAACTACTTTTTAACAGTTTTTTCCCCATTAAAGGTACCCTAACTGCAGTTGAAAGTTTCCTGACAGTGAAATCTGGACCTGAGGTTAGTTTGTTTATATTGTCTTCTAAAATTGCATGCTTATTAGCCACAAGCATACATAATATGAACATTACAAAGCTTGTGAGACAGCAGCTAACCAAATACATATTTTTTACCCATAATCAAAATATCATATCCTTTGTAGCAGCTTTGCAAAACTGCCAGGAAGCTATATCGGACCAACGAACAAGCTAGATGCCAGCCCTTTGTGGTGGTGATGAAAAATAATTTTATTGGTCTTGATGTAACTGATAACTAGTCTTTTGATTAAAAACATTTATCATAGCAAGGCTCATTTGTAAAGAGTTGGCGGGGAAAACGTGCAAAATACATTAAAACATAACAACCTGAGCTGCTGTCAGTAGGCCAGTGCCAGTATATTTTTTTAATGCAGCTGGTCGTGCATGTAGACATAGTATGAGAAATGTTAAAAGTCGTAATAAGGAAAGAGTTTCCCCAGGCTGGATTAAACATTAGGTCAGGATTTTAGATACTGGAGTAGTTACAGTTTCATGGTATTTCACTAGGGTTACAGTATCCATGATGGAACCTGGAAGTCAGCTATTCATGGCCTTGCAGATCAAGGCAATTTGAGGACGCTTCGAAAGCAGATAGGACACAAACCTCTCCCAATCATTGGTGCAAAACTAAAAAGAAGGTAAGAGAAACTTAAAAAACCAGAATTTTGTTTTGTTTTTTAATCTTTCCCCTACAGCTTTATAATTAGATTATATTTTAATATACATTTCTAAAAGAAGGAATGTTTCCTGTCTGGTATAATTGGACGAATAACTTGTTTAAATAAAGGCTTAATGTATCTGATATTTCAAGATAAGGTACAGTGAGGGGAAAAATGCATCAAAACTGATTGGCTTTTTGTAACATCACCTGTACTGAAAGCTTTATTAGAGAAACTGTTAGGAGCACTCTTTGATCCTAGATTTACTGACTTAAACCATTACATTTAAAAAGCTCTTACTGCTATGGAAGGACAAAATGTTGTACAGGCAGTAAGTCAAATTCATCCCTCGGTAATACAAATGACTTTGGTTTGTGGTAGGGATAAATTTGGCTCAGGTTTCTGGATTATTTATTAAATCCAAAGGAAAGAGAGAGTATGGGGTAAAAATGCTTACCAAAAAAGCTCTATTTTTGTCCAAGTTGTTACAATTATAAGTCAGTTTTACAATTTGCTAAGTTTTGAAAAGAATAGCTATACAGGTGACATTACTGTAAGTGAAGGAAAATATTAATGAATGTTTCTTTTGCTTTCAGAGGACTAGTGTTTTACAGTCAGGAATTCAAAGAGTACTCCATTCCATTCATGGGATCAGACGTCTCTGTTGTAAAACGAACTCAACGGTACTTGCACACAGATTTGAAAGAAACACCTGTAAGTTTGCTTTTATGTTTATAAAATCAGTCTTCTGTTGTTCTTTGTAGCACTTTCAGTGGCATCTCTTCCTTTTTTCTTCAAATCAACTATCTTCAGACTAGACTGGCTACAGATTTAGAGTTGCTAGAGAAGGGACAAACACATTGTCTTTTCCATTACTGAGTGTCAGTCAAAGACATTAATAGTTGGGGGTTCTTGTGGGAGACTCACTTGCTCCTAGAATCTCAGCTGGCAGTGGTGTCCTAGTTTTTTTTACCCCTCCCTACCCTGTGCTTTGCTAGCAGGGTACTATCTTTCAGGTGTGGATCTAATACCTTTGCTTCATGAATCTTGTCAACTGTAGGCTAAACTACTCTATGCAGCTTGTCATCTTAGTCTTGTGAGCCATGTTGTACAGTACATAAAATGGCCTCCTCTTTGCTTTTGAGCGCAGTTTAACATCCAGTTAATCTATAAATCCCTATAGGGTCTGCACCATGGCTATCTAAGAATGCTTCTCTTTATATACCTTCCATACAGATAGAGAGAGAGAGAGTTGAACAAGTTCTTAGACTCAAACTTTGTGGGAAGAGTTTTCTCATTAGAAGTTCTTGACCCTGGAACTTGCCTCTCTTGTCAGTTCATCAGAGTAGGTGTTTGCTCACTTTGGAAAGTAGGGTAATGTTCATCATCTACTTCAGGTTTTTGCTGGAGGAAGGCTGAGGAGTGTTTCATTTATAAGACTGGGTGAAGCAGTTGAGTTAGAATATTGTTTATGCTCTTTAGAGAAGTATTGGGGCAATTTTAAGTTTATTTCTGTTGTTTTTTTGGACACAGTCAAGTGTTGGAAGTATATATAGTTAATAATTTTCATTCTAATTATGATGTAATTTATACCCAGAGGTTTAGGCGGTTGGCCCATTATTACAAACATAAAATATAACAAATTTTGACTCTAGCTCATTCCATGTGATTCTGCACCATTTTAAACATATGTTATGATAAGATACTGATCCATATTATGCATTGGCCTTCATTATTTCAACCTTACTTACAGCATCAAACACTTAAAAATAGCCTTTTCTAGTTTAACATCTTCTAATGGTTTCCTGTGTGCGTTAAGGAATACTATTATTTCATTCCCTACTCCCCACCCCCCAAACTGTCAGGTCTGTTTAGGGCATAGCAAGTAGATTGTGATCAAGGGGTAATGCCACTCTCGATCTGCACCTGATATTTTTATTGATGTCTGTGGGATTTGGGTGTGCAGATTGAGGGCAGCATCAAGGTGAGAAATGCTCTATGTTCACAATGTGCGGGTGCTGAGCTTTTACACATTTTCCCAGCAGGAGATGAGTACCAGCAGTCTCTTGAATCATTTAAAACAAAGTTAGTTTTGTTTGTGTTGAGGCAAAAAAAAGATGGGAAATGTAGTTTTAAAGGAGGAAGAAAAGTAATGTGTCTGGCTTACGATCTGTTTTGCACTGTTCTCTTGTTTACCATATCCCCTCTCTACAGCTTTCACCACAAAATTATATTCTCCCCTTATTTTTTCTACTCACTGTGAATACTGAAAATGCAGCATTAGTCAAAGATGGTTGGAACTGAGTGTATGTGTATATCGGACACTGAACTGCAGCATTTCCAGTGTAGATACTTTATACAGCGATAGAATGGGGCCTTCTGTTGCTGTACTAAATCCACATCTCCGAGAAGCAGTAGTTAGGTCAGTGGAAACATTTTTCTATTGACCTAGCAGTGTCTTAAGGAAGCTTCATTATGTTGCATAACGGGTGAAATTTTTCACAGCCTTGGTTGATGTGCAGTACTTAAGTGACCTAACTTTGTAGTGTAGACCAGTCCTAAAAGTTGTTTAAAGGTTCTTCAGAATCTTTCTGCTGTGGAATATCTTTTGACATCAGCACAGTGGAATAGTTTTTTCCTCTTTTACTGAAAACTTATCTTTTTGTGTTCCTGTACTAGGTGCAGTACGCAGCTTATGCAACAGTGGGTGGTATTGCATCTGTTATTAAGCTGATGTTTGCTGGCCTTCTATTTTTTCTTCTTGTGAAGTTTAGCTTTGGAAGAAATCTCCTGACAAAAGTAAGTATTGTTTTTCATTTTTTTAACATTTCAGACATGCTGGCCTGTTGCTTCTTCTAATTTAGTTTTGGGTTTTCTTTTGCAGTACCCAGAACTTTTCTCTGGTGGACATTTTACAAAGAAAGGACCAACACAAAAGCAGGTAATTTAATTCTTTCATCCACAATTATACAGCATTTTAGTGTTTGCTTTTATTATGCAAATTACAGTGCAAAAGTCTAGAGTCTGCCACTTAAGGGTGTGTCTACACTGCAATAAAAAACCCATGGTAGAAACTCAGTGCCTGAGTTAACTGACTTGAGCTCTTGGGGCTAAAAATTGCAGTGTAGACATTCGGGCTGGAGCCTAGGCTCTTAAATCCTGCAAGGAGGGTTTTAGAGCCCAAATATCTACACTGCTATTTTTAACCCTGCAGCCCAAGTCAGTTAATCTGGGCTGAGAGACTAGAAAAGTTCTTGGTGCAATATATAGTGTTATGCAAAGGTATAAAAAGTGAAGTACACTTGCTAGATACAAATTGTTGTATTACACAAAGAAATGGATACTCTGTAAATGAATGTACTTCTTGTCTTCTGCATTACAGATAGATGGATCATCCTTTACAATGACATTTTTTGGTGAGGGATACTGCGAGGGCCAAGATCCACAACAGGGCAAACCAAATGTAAAAATCTGCACCCAAGTGAAAGGACCAGGTAAGGAAGCCAGAATGTTTTATTATGGTCATCTTAAAAATTCAAGGTCAGCTGTTTGTCATGTACCCCTCTTCTACTGACCATTATTTTTAGCATTGTAAAGAGTATTTGAATATAGCTGGAAGCCATTGTGTAGTTGCCAGCTATTATAAAGAAGCAGTGATGTTGGAAGGAAATCTGCTTGTGGGTGTTACATAAGCAAGAAACTAAACCAATAGATGTAAATAACACTACTACAATTAAAAAAAATTAGCTTACTGCCTTAACTTATGGAGGACTTCCATTTCATGTAGCAACCTGGAATTTCAACACTAATTGCATTTCACTCTACTGTTATTCCAAGGCTAAACACAGCCATTGCTACTACCAAACTACTTTTGCATGATTTTTGGGAAGAGTGCCAGAGTGCCTGTGTAGCATTATTAATTTTGATGGAATATAATGGGCACAAAGGTGTTATATGACCCTGTCAATGTCTAATGTTAAACAAGGTTGAGGGTTTGGTATAGAGAGACCTTAACCTGCTTAGCATCATGGCAAACACATCATAAATAAAGGATTTAAAAATATTTCTAAAGTATAGGAAAGAAAGAAAAAAAGAGTTAACACTTTTATTTTAGCAACATGCCTTGCTCCCTTTCCCTCTAGCTGAATTTTTTTTTAAAAAGGACTCCCACATCCACAGTTGACAGTGTTTAAGTAGTAATAACTGTCTTGGGGAGTTAATTGGGCTGGACCTGTTGCTGTCCTTAAATCCAATCCCATTTCCTTAAAAAAACAAACAAAAAAAACCACCAAACACAAAAGGGGAAACAAAATATGCAGCTTCTCTGGTGTTGACTCACTTCCATCCTCACTATTGGAAAAACACTATTGCACATAGTTTTATCAGCCACTCAGAGACCTGGCAAACTTGTACAGGTTTTAACTGCCTCTTCGTTACAATCTTACAGCAGTGCTGCAAAATATGGTCTATACCAGATTCAGGATAGACAAGAAGGGAAAGGGAAAGTTTTTGTAAAAGTCTTTTATCCCAGGTGGTGGATGGATTGAGGAAGCAGGTGGAGGTGGTGTTATCTGGCTCCCTCTCTGGAGCAAGAAGATGAAGGCCTAGTGGTGTTACTTATGAGACAGTGGGGGTGGAAGCCATGATGGTAAGTCTCTCTGGAGCTGTTGTTGCCAGACAGCTGCTTCTTGATTTCCCGTTCGCCTCCAAAAAAGGAGTGATGGGTGGAATAACCCATCCCCTCATATTGATCACTAGTTAGGCCTACTTCCAGTACAATAAATGTTGATTTTCAGTCCCACCCTTTTGATGTTCACCGCGCATGATATTACCATCCTTGAGTTAGATCAGTAGGCCTTTTTGTTAGGGTTACCATATTTCAGCGAGCAAAAAAGAGGACGGGAGGAGCCCCGCCCTAGCCCCGCCCCTGCCCCTCCCACTTCCCGCCCCCCCCTGACCTCCCAACCCTCCCCCCGTTCCTTGTCCCCTGACTACCCCCCTCCTGGGGACCCCTGCCCCTAA